ATAATTTGATTATATCAAAATACATGGTAAAAATTAAAGTTTCGGGAATTGAAATAGAGAGAAATGGATTCGTGTGTTCATTGATGAATCCGAAATTCTGATTTTTCGAATATTGGATACGACTCTGCTTATTTCTATTTCCACTCTATTACAATGTATGTATATGACTTCCGTACTGATCAAGGGAATGTCAAACTGATTACCGAACTTGATCGAAGTCGATAATACACTTTTTTAATTCCAAATTCGATAATAATATTGACATCTTGATTTATTTTTTACATTATATTATATATATATTATAATATATATATAATATATATCATAATTCTGTCTTACTCAAACGCATATATTTGTCCTTATCTAACACCATAATTATGCTAACACCATCTATCACAAGATCGTGCAACTACTGCAACACGGAATTTCAGCTCTGTTGACATTCCCAGTCTTCATAAAGCATCCCTATGCACGTATTTTCTACACAGTGAAGATACTTTTCTTCTAGACCTTCAATCTTAATTCTGTAAACTCGATATCGTTCGTTCCAATAATGCGACTTCCGCTGCATGCTTATTTTTAACATATGGACTCTAAAACTCTTATATCAAGCAAATATATACCTGAGGTGATAGCTGTGCGAGCTAAAAATAAGTGAATTGTTGAATTTTGTAATTTTTTCGATTTTCTCATGAATTCATGAGTGCAGCGGAGGTCCTGTTTGTGCGTACTTTAATTTATGTAATAACACTTTTGCAATCTGTACATTCAATTTGGAGATTTTTCACCGTGTGCAAATGTGGGTAAAACAGGAGACTATAGCATCCCCTTAAGACAGAATAGTATGAAGCAGAGAGAATCAAGGGAGAGTGGAGCGGGTAACATTTCTCTGATTGATTTCGTCATTTATAACTCAACTTCCGCAAATGTGCATATATGCATGTACGTATATATACGTACACACAATATTAGTGCAGTACAATACTAGTGTGTGTAACATCGAATGTTCCATTACGCTTCAATCATATCTCCTATTCGCTCCAACAAATGGCAGCTATCGGTTGAATCCGCTCCACCCTCCCTTGATTTTCCCTGGTATGAAGTAGTGTCAGCTAGAGTATTGATTAAAACTGTACACGGTCTACTGGAAAGAAAGTTGGAATATATAAAAATCTTATTTAAAATTCTACGATCGGATCATATTGTATTCACAAAATTTCTGGTTTCTTGCACGTCGATATAATGACAGAAATAAAACATACGACCAAAGGCAATAAATTTCTTGTTGAATATCTGAATTCGCCTGACATATCGGGCGAGTATCATAAGGCCGATTATAGGTGAGACTGGGACGAAGACTCAACAAAAAAACGATTTCTGTTGAAATATGCATGAGACATATTAATTATTGCGATGATAATTTTTTAAGAGAAATGTTACTTATGTGTATCTTATTACAAAGAAGAATTATGTTTTTTATATCCTCAGGAATTTTTTCATCTTATTGTTATTTGTTTTATCTTCCAAATTTAGAGTCGTTAAACTACAAAATGGTTTAACAGCTTTGTTAATATCTGGATTGGAAAAAGCGAATTATGACGATACGAGTTATAAAGATTACGAAGAAGGTAGTTCTACAGTCAAACGACTTAATACAGACGTATGGAAGGTATAAAAAAAACAATTAGCATTTTAAAATATATTTTGCGTATTTTTTTTACATAATCTTTTTTTTTACAAAAAATTTATTGGGATTATAAAATCGGAGATAAACTTATAAAAAATAATCTATCTCTTCAAAATTACGTTCAGAATAGCATTATTGGTGTAATAGTGACGATCTATTTTTATCGTTCATGAGACATGAAAAGATAATATGTCGCAACATAGCGCTAATAGCGTATCATCGAACACACAGTAAAGCGTAATAATGGGTGCTTTCCATTTGATGACATAAGTCGGTAAAAGTCGACACAATCGTCGTTCTATCTTTGTCACTCTCTGTCAAAAATGTCAAGAATGATAGAACGACGCTTATATCGACTTGTGTCGATTTGTTTCATCAAGCACTTATTATTAATTATATAAAGAGACCTCGTTTGCAAAACGTGAATTCCTTTATTATTTATAAACGAGTTTTTATGAATTTGTTTTAAAACGTGTAAACTGTTCACGAGTCATCCTACTACTGTTTGTGTTTAATGTATTATATAATATTAAGATTCTATATGCAACGCAAGAATAGTATAAATATATAGATATTTTTTAAACCCAGGCATTTTGTAGCTTATGTGTGGGAGTAGGCAGTTTTAGTGATCCACCGGAGGTTCCAGGCCTGGCATATTTCCTTCAGCGCATGGTTTTCATGGGATCCGAAAAATATCCAAAAGTATTAAAATACAATAAATGAATTTATTATAAAATATACTATTTGTACGTTTAAATCTTTAAATATCACTGTATTTTCAGGAAAACGGTTTTAATGAATTTATCAGTCTCCATGGTGGCACTATTGATGGCGCAACGGATTGCGAGCATACAAGATTTTACTTTGATGTTTCAGAGAAACACTTGTTTGTAGCTCTCGATCGTTTTGTTCAATTTTTCATTGGACCCTTGATGAAAAAAGATGCCATCAAGAGGGAACGAAAGGTCATACAAAGGGGTAAATAAATTCTAATGGTAATGCTGTTGCTAAAACTTGTGTTTTTTAAATATTTCATGTTCACATAGAGTTTCGATGGAGTTCATCTAGTGATAAAAATACAAAGCAACAATTATTGTCTTTTATTGCTCGAACCGGTCATCCACCCAATAAGATGTTCTGGAGCAATTTAATAACGTTACACAGTAATATAGATGATGACAAATTGTACGAAGAGCTGCACAAATTCAGAAAACGTCATTATAGCGCTCACAGAATGATGCTAGCTATACAAGTAACTATAATATGTTAAAATTGCAATGAACAATTGATTTCTTATTAAACATAATTAATTCATAATACGTACATCCGTTTATAGGCGAGATTATCACTAGATACTTTGGAAGTATATGTCGCAAACTTCTTTAGTAATATACCAAGTAATTGGCTGCCTTCCGATGATTTTACAGAATTTAAAGATGGCGTTTCATTTAATACTGACACTTTCAAAAAAATGTATCATATTAAACCCTTCAGCCAAGAAATCAGCCAAGTATGTAACTTGGACACACAAATTAAAAAAAAGCTGTATTCAAGCTGAACAAATGCATATAAAAATATCTTGTGTTTTACAGCTACATATAACATGGGCTTTGCCTTCAATACTTGATTTGTACAGAAGTAAACCATATAAATATGTTTCATGGATTATTGAACATAAAGGAAATAATTCTTTAGCTAGTTATCTACGTAAAAAAATGTGGGGCTTTGATGTGTTCTGTGGTTACTGTGATAATGATAATGGTTTCGGATACAACTCTATGTATGTCTTATTCGAGATTACAGTAGAACTCACTCATGAGGGAATAAAACATCAGCAAGACGTTCTAGATGCAATATTTTCCTTTATAAATTTAGTAAAAAAGACGGGCCCACAAGAAAATACTTATAATGAGATTTATAAGATTGGAAAAAATAATTTTAGGTAAATAATTAATTTAGAAATAAATAAATACATAGAAAAGAGAAATATTATTAAAATACGTAAGATATGCCACTTATACTTGAAGGTTTTTTTAGATTTTTTAGTAAACACGATGATGTGTTCGATTTATGTAAGAGTATGCATTTCTATCCATCACGTGATTATGTAACTGGAAAGCATATTTATTTCGAGTATAATCCAGAAGCTATACAAAAATGTTTGGATTTTTTGATGCCAGAAACAGCGAATATCATGATTTTCAACAGTGATTTTGAAATAAATATAGACGATCCGAGATTGAAAATTAATTATACATATATGGCGTTATCAAAAGCATCGCTCGAACACTGGAAATCTATCGAGCCATTGCCTGATTTTCAATTACCATTACGCAATGAATTTCTTACCAATAATTTCTCTACTATATCGATATCAGCAGAAGCTTCGGAGTATCCTGTAAAAATACACGAAGATTGTATGTCGCAGATTTGGTTTCGCCCGAAGTTTTATTGGCCGATGTGTCATATAAATCTACATCTTTTTTCTGCTCTGAATCCTAGATTAGCAAAAAAGTAAATAATAGCTTGAACATGTAATATTTGTAGTAGTACTGCAATGTCTGTCGATCTCATATATACCTATTATAATGTCTAACTTGTAATTATTATGTGTTGTGATTTTTATAAATTAATTTGTTATTAAACAAAATTTATATTAATAACAATTTAGTGCAGCTCTCCTGCAAATGTACTGCAATGTATTAAAATATCTATTGCTCGAAGAATTACATCCGGCTGTAATGGCTGGGTTTGGTTATAAGATCGATGTTAATGAAGAAGCTACAGGTATTACAATACAAATAAGCGGATTTGACGAAAATCTTCCAGTAAGTATACGTTTAAAGCGTGTGTTGACGGAATTATATATATATATATATATACATACACATACACGCGCGTGTGTGTGTGTGTATGTGTGTGCGTGTGCGTGTGTATGTGTGTGTGTGTGTGTGTGTAAAATTTGGAGAAACATAAATATTTTATTTCTATTGCAGTCCTGGTTGATGGTTATTGCAAACTATATGGTGGATCTAGTCCCTTTTTCAAAGGATTTACTTAGAATTATGAGAATGCAACAACTCAAGGCACATTACAACAAATTTGTAGAACCGGAAACGTTCATCGAGTATTAATTATTTATTATCACTATTTATTGCATAATTGCAATAATTATAAAATTCTTATACAAGTAGAAAAAAACAGTGATGAACATCAATTATAACAATTAATTTTATAAATTGAATTATATATTTATTACATTTCTTATCATTTTCAATTAATAACATATATGTAGCTTATTTTTTTCGCAGGGATTTGGAGTTATGGTTATTGAAGAGTGGCAACTGTACACACGTTCACAAATACAATGCTTTACGAAGATATTTGTTGGAAGACTTCCAAGATTTTATAAAATCCTTCACCAATAATCTATACATCCAATGTCTTGTGCAAGGCAATGTAACGAAAGACTTTACGATGAGTATTATACAACAATTTATCAAAAAAATTAATTGTTTTTCCTTGAATAAAGAGGTGTTGCCTACTGAAGTCAATGAGATACCCCAAGGCACATCTTTTTTGAAGTTGAAAAATATTAATCCAACTAATGTAAATTCAGTAGTGACAAATTATTATCAAGTCGGTTCTGCTTCGATTGAATTATCGGTGTTAATCGAGCTGATGCTTGTAAGTATTTAATAAAATTTTTTATATATTTATATAAATTATATAAATTTTATATATTTAAATACATAAAATTTTCAATTTATATTTATTTATTTTTATTAGTAAATGAAATGTGAATAACATTTTTGATTACCATGATTGATTTTATTTGAACATCATATTCATCTATTAAATAATCAATTTCATCTGTTAAATAATCATTTTTTAGATGATAATGAAAGAACCGTTAATGAATCATTTACGAAATCAACGAAAGCTCAGTTATGCTTCATGTGACCTTAGAGATATCAAACGAATTTTAGGATATTCTATTACTGTTTACACTCAGGCAGATAAATGCACAACCGAATATGTTGATCAATGGATCGAGGAATTTCTGAATTCGTTTCGAATCATGTTGGAACAATTCTCAGAAAAGGAATTAGATGATGTCAAAGAAGGGCTGAGAATTTTAAAGCAACATGACGATACCGATACTCTGAAAAACAGAGTTGACAGAGACTGGAATGAGATCATGAAGCGACAATACATGTTTGACAGATGTGAAAAGGAAGCGCTTGCAATAGAGAACATAAATATCAATAAGCTGAGAGAATTTTTCGAAATGTATACACTGGACGGAAGTAGTTTCAGAAAATTGAGTGTACATGTGGTAGGAACACCGAAGGCAGTTGCAGTCAGTAAGCAGATAACTTTTCTGATCGAACTTTGGTCAATGTCTAAATATTTGTTTTTATATTATGATATTGTTCTTGCCTTCCATTTCTTTCTTGTCACATTAAATTGAAGTTGCTAAGACAATTAAAATTTCAAAAATTAATTGTTGTAGATGCAAAGAATCTTAGGCATTCTGTGTACTCTCTTAAGGAATTGATAATTGACGATTCGCGGCACAATAGTGCTACAGATCATCATATTACTGACGTAAACTATTACAGAAATACTTTGCGTTGTTACTACAGGTTATAAGTGAGAAGAATAATCCTGTCATCCTTAAAGCGCTTAATAAGTGCTATTTAAACAATAATGGTACAATGTTGATAAAATTGTAAATATTACTCTTTCAAATTTCTTATTTTAATTTATCA